TGGGAGCTTGAGGGACGGCTGTGGCCACTTATTTCCGAATACATTTGTGCCACATGCTAACGGCCGCGCCTCGCCTTGCTCGCCTACTTCGGGAGAAGTTGGTTTGAATGGCAGGCACAAAGCAAAAGTAAGCCATGCGCGCCTTGGCTACCAAACATTGCCTTTTTACATGGCTGTTTTTGACGCTTGGTGGTGTTACCTGATACCTAGAATCTGGAACCACCCTACGGCCGCCCCAAAATTCAAAAGAGAGCCCAGCCAAAAAGAAAACAGCAACATGAAGTACAATACCCCTAAACCCTAAACCCTAAACCCTAAACCCTAAAGCTAACTTCAGTATTGGGAGACACCGGGTCCCGAGCCTTCATGTCTGAAGGGCATGATGTAAAGGAACCCTAAATGCTAAACCCCCAAACCCTAAACCCTAAACCCTTAAAGGAACCCGTAAAGGATGCCTTAAAGGAACCCCTAAATGGCACCACGGTGAGGTTGAGCTCCACCGGCCATTCCGTCGCAGACGAATCCGTGGAACCCAAGGCCGGGTACCGCTACGTCCTTCCTCCTCTTACATACATTTAGGGTTTAGGGTTTGGGGACAGACATCTCTCTCTCTCTCTCTCTCTCCCTCTCTCTCTCTCTCTCCCCCAAGACACAAACCATACAGAGAAACGAGCCAAGATACATACATACCTAGATCGATGCATCCATAATTCTGGTTGTTCATACAGTCTAGAGCCCAAGCTTCAGGACGATTGTCCGACGTCGCGCCGACCGTCTCAGCAAGGCCGGGCTGAATCGGACGAACGCAGGCACTTAGGATCCGGTTGGGTTCAGGGTTTAGGGGTTTGATTTGGGATACCTTGGCTGCTAATCCCCGAACCCGAAAGCCCTTAAACTTTAGCTCTACACCGCAATCCACTACCATGGCCAACTGCCACCTGCCCGTATTTACACGTGCGCTTCATCTCGATCTCAATGTGAAAATGTCGGGATCAACCGCCTCACGCCCTCACGGCAACATGTGGGTAGTTCTCTAAATTAGGGTCCCCTTTTTTTGTCCCCAATATAGTACGGCACCCTTCTAAAAAAGGACCCTAAAAGGGACCCTTATTCAGAAAACTACCCATGTGAGCAGCTTTTTCAGTCGCACGCGTACTGCGAGGCGTCAGTCGCACAGTAGCAGAAGGTTGTCGTCGAGTCTCCATGTCTCACATGCACTGAAGGAACAAGTTGAAAGAACTAACCCACAAACCCTAAACCCTAAGCCCTAAACCTTAAACACTAAACCCCACAAATCGCTTACTCTAATCAGCAAGGAAGTGAGGAAACCTGCACAGCCATCGGCTCCGGCATCCAAGTTCTGCTTCGGATCGACGTGTCGCATGAGGGGATGTTATCCTGTGGATTTCGCTTTTTCGCCGCTTCACGAAAATGTCCGCGTCAGTGCTGAACTTGAATGAACTATAGTGAACTGTTTCCTGCCGTTACGAGATGCAGGACACAGCATAGCTGGAAGCTAGGCCACAAGACTCTGGAGGAGACTTCTTTCAACAGAACCATCGTTTGGCCTTCTTCCAAAGCTCCGCTTGGACCAGGTGCTGCTAGTCCACGTCCTGGCGACTTGGCCTCAATCCTAATCCTGAGTCTCAAGTTTGTTGGACACTTGGTAGACGTTTCTGATGCCTGGGCCATTGTGACAGCGCCTGTCATGCGAGCCGGAGGAAGCAGCATGGGTCGGACGCAGCGCAGGCTCGCATGCTGTCCCTCACCGATTGCAGCACGGGGTAGATGTGAGCATGGCAAACTAGCCCGTCGAGCCCGAGAGCTCGAAACCCTGCGATTCCCGGAGGTTAACCCTTCCGGCTTCTCCACGGCCGGCAACCAGTGCAACCTCCAGGAGAAAGTCTTTCAGTGTAAACGACACGAGGCTGATCTCGGGCGAAGCTGTTGCACTGATTCACATCACAAGCAGCTCTGCGTTTGCGAGGGGCTAGGCCTAGGTGCCCCAGGCGAGGTGGTAGCGAGCAGTTAGCACTGTCCTTGTCAACCACCACAGCCGCTAGCTACCTTCTGGCACAGTAGACCTTTGTGGCTGTCTGATCCCCTGGGCCTCTTCTTGGTGCTCAATATAGCAACGGCACACTTATAAAAGGATCCTAAAAGGGACCCCCAATTACCCAAGTAGCATCCGATGTGGGCCTGTGCCAAGGAGGTGGATTTGACCTCTTTGCCAAGGAAGAGTGGCAGCATATCTCCAAAGAAGTTTTCCAGCGCCAACGAGACGAGGTTGAATTTGAGGGTTTGAGGGTAGTAGCACCGGGCTATGCTTGTGGAGGCAAGTTATCCTTTCGCGGCACATGCATGTTGCAGCCTATGGGATGATGCTGACTTAGTTGTCTGATGCGACCTCGAGAAGTGTGTAATGGAGGGAGAGCTCAGCCTTAGTTTATGGTTCTTTGACGACCACGTGGTAGCCCTCCATTGTTCACAGACGAGGGCCACCAAAGTCCTGTGCCGAGGATGTTGACACGGATTCGATGAGCATGGCATCCACAGGGATGCAACGAGCACCATGTCTGCGGTGACAGAAGTCGTCGTCGTAGTTGACATGGTGATAATGATTCCCACAATCATAATGAGAGGGTTACGGTTAGTGTTAGTGTTGCTATGAGCTAGTGGTAGGGAGGGTGACAATGATAGGGAAGGCCCGCTTGGGATCTTGGGTCCTGCTTGTGACGGCGCAAATTCTGATGTCAAGGTAGTTCCGATGTTGTGTCTTGAAGTGTCTTCGTCGCAATGCAAGAGCAGCAGTGAGGCTAGTGTCCTAATGAAATGTGCTGGTTTCAAAAGTTAAGCCAATACCACTGCACCACGGCTATCCGACTTCTTATAGCTGCAGGACTCCCACTGGCGTTTCTCGGCATGCAGGAAGATGTTCGTGCAACCGTGCGGTTTCCGTTGCGAGGCGCAGTTCTGCAAGGGCCAACGGTCGAAAATCTGAAGCAACTTAAGGCAGTTCAGGGGCGTGGATCAGTGCGACTTTGCGTGTTTGGTAGACATGTTGCTTGAATTTTGAGCAAAGCCCACGAAGCACAGACGTGGACCAGTTGGCACGTCGTTCTGCAATGAGGGCCGGCCGCCGTCACAGAGTTCTTCGAGACCGCGGGTACAGAAGTCATCGACCTTCTCCGAAATCTCAGCCGGAGGCTCAGAAAGACTGTCTGGTGCTTAGTAGGGACTGGAGGAATAGATCCCTATGATAGTCCCTTAAGGTCCCTTATAGTAGTCCCTATAACCCATTCCCCCATTCCCTACTAAGCACCAGTCACCTTCAGCAAGCTCGGAAGTTGGCCCTGGACCAGCCCCGCACACGTGAACCTTGTAAGGATGGATTGGACCAGCATCCTGGCAGCAGCACATGAGCTAACCAGCTTCGATGTTCGTCACAACTGGTCTAGCCGAGTCAGCCCCTGCGTGAAGGTTCCTTCAATGGGTCTAAGATGGCTTGATATGCTTGATATTGTGTGATGCCAGCGATGCGAGTCCAAGTGTGCATGCAAGAAGAGGTTTGAAAAGCAAAGAACAGTGAAGACATCTCAGATTCAGTAAGATGCACTGTAAGGGCTGCCAAGAGATGTGCAGAGAGGCTTCTAAACGTATCTCCGTGCTTGGCGTTTTAGAGTTGCCATGACCAGATCTAGTTAGAGCCAAAGTGTGCAGGAAGTGGCATCATGCTTGGATAAGCCGGGATCTCACCGTAAACCCGAAACCCAAAACCCGTAACCCTTCAAATGTAGTTCTCTTACGAAACACCCAGAGAACCCAATACTCCTCAATTAGGGAATATACCTTAAATCATAATATTAAGGCCCCTATAATCTAAGGTATATTCCTTATGCGAACCTACAACCAGCACCTGGAGTTCCGGAGCCTCACCAAACCCAAGAACCCAAACCAACCCAGGGATCTCTAGAGGGCCCATACACAAACCACCCTCAACACCCTGAAAAACCCCCGGGGTCAATGCCTTTCTTCGTGCAAAAACGGCCTCGGTGTGCGTGTCATCCTTGCGCTGGGGCGGAGCTTCCTTACAGCTTCACACTCCCCCTCTCCTGTGTCCTCTCTACAACAGGAGACTGGCACAAAGATCCGCCAGATGAAAAGCATCTCCTCTTAGAGGAAACGAGTTAGGAGCAAAAACCCTTCGGCTTTCAAACAGTTGCGTCTGACTACCTCGCAGACCCCGCCATCACCCAAACCGCTTTGACGGATGAGGGTATCGGAAAACAAGCGGGGAATATGACCTAGGTAGCTGCACAGGCCGGCACGGGTGGCTCGATCATTATAGAAAGGCATATGGAGGTTGAGACCTTGAGGAGTTGCCTCCTCCCTCGGATCATTGCGCACTCACGCGTGCACAGACTCCGTTTTCAGCGTCCTGGCTTTGCTCAGCTCAGTTCCAAACCGAACCAACCACTATCAACCCTCACGCCGAACTAGAAGACTCCGAAGTGGCAACGAAACCAGGTGAGCCAGAAGAGCTGTTCAGCTCTCCCTCGGTGGACGCGAGTAGCGTCTGGCTTCCTTCAGTTGAGGTGTTGCTGCGCGCTACTGGGTACTGCGCGAACAGCAAGTTCACTTGATCGCCCCAAGGGCCGACGGCATACTGGAACTCTGCAGGCCGAACATACCGAAATTCGTCAAGGGTAGGGTCGTCAAAAGCTTCCTCCAGGGCATGCAATGGCATGGGGATTGTTACGGCTCTAGCGGCTGGTGCAGCGTGGACATACGCTTGCAAATACCGTTCCCTCCTACTTTTCCGAACCCAAAGGATGCTACCTACAACAACCGCTAAAATGATACCTAGGCCAAAAACCCAACCATTCTCCGGATAAGTTTCTGCCAGAGCTTCGGGTTCAGGACTCCCTGCTTCGGCTTGGCGTAGCTGTCCCGCAGCTATCAAGGCAACAACTGCTAGCTTCGCCGCTTCAGCGCTACCGCTACTCGTGGACTGCACTGGCAAAGTATCCTCCCTTCTCTCTTCCTCGACTAAAGAAGCAGCTAACAGAATGAGGCACAACTTCAGCTGCAAATCCTTCGAAGACTCCAGGGAACATGGACCAGCGGAAGGTCCCATCGACCACAACGGCAACAGGGCTTTGACCCTGGTACCTGACAAAGGCTTTGTGTTCAGATCTGCTGCTTGGATTTCCCCTGGGATGTGGTGCAGCTCCCAGGCTCCACTAGCAATTCGCTCTTTGATAGCCAGTGCCCTAACACGCATGTGCCTATTGCGCCATGACCCTCCCGGGGATCTGACAAGGTTGACTCCAGTGAGTGAGTCGCCATACAGCACCCGGCTCACATCATCCTCTTGGATATCCTCCAACAAGCAAACGGTTGCATCTGCAAGCTCACAAGCATACATGTATCCAACCAGTTCAGCTTCAGTAGACGAGAGCGTGACTAGCGGTTGCTTTCCACAGTCCCAGGCAATGGCACCCCCACCCCACAACAGAGTCATTGCATGGAAGGACCTTCCTCCATGGGGAGCATGCGACGCGTCTGCGAAAGTTTCAACACGACCAAGAGACTGAGGAAACGGGAGAGACCCCGAAGCTCCAAACCCGCCTACTTCGGACCCATACCACAACCCTAAATCGATTGACCCATTAAGGTACTTCAGAAGGTGCATGCCGTCTGCCACAACGGCTTCCGGATTGCGGGTAACTGCCGATGCCATGCGTGATACAGCATATCCGATGTCCGGCCGGCTTCTCGTTGCCAGCCAGAGGACCTCACCGGTCAGGCCCTGCGCTCGTCGGAGTGCGTCGGCGTTTTCAGGCACATGCTCCTCGGAACCAAGTGCTGAGTTTGACGGACAAGGGGCTACAGCAGTTCCTTCTACAGCGTGCCTGTCAACAAGCTCTCGGATGTAGCTCGCTTGGTTTAAGTGAATGTTGAACCCCGTGTCTTGAAAGATCTCGAAACCACAGAACTTCAGAGGTTCATTGCCACATTCATGCGCAAACTCAGGAAGGGAAGTCTTCCACTCCTTCTGAACGCACTCTAGTGCGCTCCGTAGGAGTCCCTCTGGCCCTGCCGCTAGAAGGTCATCTACATACCACGCCGCCAAGGCATGGACAGCTCCGACTGAGTTCACGACCTTCCACAAGTTCGGCTCCGATTTTGATTGCCGGAAGCGATACGTCTCACCCTCGAACATCCATGACATCTTGGACATCCGCTCATTGCGGTGTGACTGCCAATCGGCTGGACTCGAGGCCAATCCGTACAGAGCCTTCTGCACATGCCAGAGCTGCGACTCTGGCACGACCCCCGCATCTATGAACACCTTCGGAGGACGAACTACTATGTAGTGTGGGCGTTCTGGATTCAAGGGTGCATTTAGAAATGCTGTGGATACGTCAAGAGATCCCACGCGCCACTTCGAAGCAGCGGCTTTTCTCAAGAGTGCCCTGACTGTCACCGATTCACAACCGCCGGCGTAAAGATCGGCTCGTTGCTGTGCTCTGCTCGAATGCTCTGGATTAGAGTCCGGCGCGAGGTGATTTCCGCACACAACCCCTCTCACCTTTCTTTTGCCATACCCCTTCTTCCGAGTGAAAACTCCCTTCCCTGGAAGAACTTGTACAGGATGTCCCTCACGCACCCATGATTGCACAGTTTGAGGTGTGATGGCTACCACAGCCCCCTTTTCAAACAGAGATGTTACTTCAGCCTGTATGGCTTCCTTCCATTCTGCCAGGGTGGCTCTTACTTCTTCAAGGGCGATGGTACGGGTATGCAGGAATTCCAAAGGCTCCTCCGGCTCATCGCCGAGAGCTGCTTCGTGGATGACTCGGGGGTGAACGGTCTCTGTTGATTGTACGGGGGCGCTGAGTGCGCACGCCCGGTGAATTCCATCTGAAGGCCCTACGGGGGCGCTGATTGCGCACGCCCGGCGAACCCCATCGAGTGAACTATCCCACGAAGGTTCCTTCCAAAGGATTTCTTCAAGCTCACTCATCCACCCTTCTATCCTAGCCCATGTGTCTGTGATGGCGGAGGCCCCTGAAGGGTACTGAACTTGACTGGGCAGCAAGGCCTCAAGGAACTCAAGTTCAATAGAGAGAAGAGCATGTTGTTGACACAACGATTCCCGCTCCTCCGGGCTCAAGGGCACCACATCCCGAGCTACTTCCCACTGAGGGTTGGCTTCGCCTCCGTCCGGCTGATCACCCGGAGAAGTTCTCCAACTTGAAAGCCTTGCGGTTGGTCCTTCGAGCTGAGAGCCGGGGTTTGGATCCTTGCTAATCTTACCATTTCTGATGCCATCAGGCGGATTGCCGTTGTCGCTCGGAATGCGAGCCCCTGGTGTAGGGAATCCAGCTTGCTCCAGCTCCGGCTTGAGGCCGGCCGCATGATCAAAGAATCCACGAGGAGTGTATGCAATAATGGACCACCGGGTCCCTTCCCACGGCTCAACTTGATGGCTCGCGTGCGGGTCGA